CATGAATGTTTAAGAAGTTTTGACATGCTTAAACATGATGCTAAGGATGTATCAACCTGGCTAAGGGATTATTTTAGAGTTTTGTTGGGGATGGGGGTTTTGTTGTTGTTTTGGGGTTTTTTGGGGTTTTGTTTTGGTTTGGGTTTGGTTTTGGTTTTTTGTGTGTGTGTTTTTTGGTTTAGTTTTTTTTTTTTTTATCCTTAATCAAGGTGTCCAACAAGAACACTGGGAAATTGATTGATGCCATGATTGTTGCTCAGCAGCTGAAACATAGCAGTAAAGCTTCACTCCATGCTGGTGAGGAGGATGTAAGCCTTGATGCCTTCTACTCCATGGAAACAGCCTTCCATCACCCTGAAGACTGAAGCATTGGTGGGGGAGAAGGAAGACGTGAATGCCATGGAAACATCTCTGCTTCACTGAGGAAGTGCAGTGGTGTTTCTTTTGATTTTACTCCTAGGTCTGTGCAGTGGGTCATCCCACAGCAGCAACTAACAACTTCATTTCAGTTTTGGGAGAGAAATCTCTCCCTGGAGGTACTAACTTGTGTCTTTTCTTGTTTTTAATTCCCTTGATGCAGTGACATACAAACTGATCTTTGCCATCTAGGACCAGGGCTAAATGATGGCTCAGTTAATAGAGTTCTAGTGCTGGACATGTTTTGGGGCCAACATCTCGCACATGTTAAAACTAATGTATTTTAGTGCATGCCATTAGCAAAGGTTGGGTTTGTGTGCTGTAACTAATGACAACTCTATGCTTTCTTTTTTTAGGAATTGTAGTCCTGAAAAAGTTGTTTTTTCATGCCTAGCATGCATCTATGCTGCAGTTTTGCTGGCGTGGAACCAGGAAGGATGGCACACTTTCTTTCCTGCTGGATCTGATCAGCCTTGGGTGCTTACACCATCACTTCTTCAGCATTGCTGAGAGTGTGGCAATGATGCCTTTCTGGGGCCAAAACTCTTCTGGTGCACAATCAGTGCAGTTTAAGATATAAAGGTGTGAAGTGAGGCCCGTGACAGTTTGAGGGGTTGTGTGGGCCTTTATCAGCCAGAACCTATCTGAGTGCAAACACAAAAATGTTGTTGACAGACAACTTTCATAAATTGCTTTGTTGAGTGTCAGCTTTGCTTTATAGCACATTGTCACATGCCAGTGCTGACACTCATGGCAGAACTTGCTGGTGCAGTATGGCACACTTGTTCTACTGGTAGCTTTTTCTGCTTTTTTTTCCTAGGAAAATCCTTATGGTCCAAGCAGGAGCCATGTTAACAGGTTTTGCCCTTGATGCATAGGAGACAGGAGCTGTGTTGCACAGCATGTACTGGCAGAACCATGTCAACATCACAATTAAAAACAGGGTGAAGCAAAATGAATGCTTTAAATATACCCATATTTCTGTGAAGTATTTTCTACTGTTGTCTTCTAACATCCAGGTTCTTCTATAGCAGCATCTGTTACTCAGAGGGCAAAGGCTTGCTGCAGGCTGACCAGAGTTAACAGTAACCATGGGCCAAGCCAGACGAAAACATCTTTCTTTTTTATCATTTACTTTTCTTTGCTGTTTCCTGTGGCAGATATTTTCCCAATGCCATGCCAACATAGCTAGGAAGGGAATTTGTCATCTGTAGCCAGACAAGGGTTGTAGTCACTATATTACCAAACTGAGTCACAAAGCTCTCTAAATGGTTGTGGCATGTGTGGCTAAAGAAACAAAAGAAACGTCACTCAGCTAGACTTTAACACTGAGCAAGAACAGAAGAAGCAATGAAGAGGCTGTAGGAACTTCAAAAGGCAAAACAGTCTCTGTGGATTCCCCTTTTCCCTGCAGATTGGGAAGAGGCAGATGGGTAATCAACAAAATCCACATCACCTCAAGATATGGCCTGAAGAGTAAGCTTGCAAGGTACTTGTGTAAAAAAAAAAAATGCATGAAGCCCTACATGGCACCTGCAATCTGTGGATCTCCCCAAACTATCCCAGGCATATGGAGGGCATTGAGGCACCTGGAGCCAAGCAGCTCCTGGTCAGCAGCTGGTGCTTGTGGACACTAGGGAGCTGGGCTGTGCAGCCTCACTGGTTTTTGGGCTATCATGATGTCAGGTGTCCCTGCATTACACCACAAGATGACTTTTGCAGCTTCCTTGAGGTCAAAAAAATCACAGCTATGTGGGAGGGTTCCTAAGGTATGTGGGAGAGTTTTTATCATGGTTTATGCCATCATATGTGGCTCACAGTTTGCCTGGGCTAAGCAGGCAGCATGGAAAGCCAGCACTTACCTTCAACACATGGCAGAAGACCTGCTCCAAGGCAGCACAGATGCTGGGTGAAAGCAGGAGCAATTGGCTCTCATTTTGGGCAAGCTCAGTGATTGTCACATGGGAGTGATTAGCTCAAACACCATGGACCAAAGGAGCAGATTATTTTGACATTTAGGCCTGAATGTGGCGTTTCCAAGGACTCCTGTAATGATTTGGACAAAGACTCTTAACAAGACAAAACCCAGCATGGAGAGTGGTGAGTCGCACAATGGAAAAATCAGCACATGGTAGGACTGGATCTGCTCTTGTCCTCAGCTTCCTGGGGCTCAGGCAAAGTGTATCCTGCACACAAGGTTACAGCAATTTTAAGGCTCTCATGCTGAAGCTGCTCTTGACGACATCAGTGCCCTTGGCAAGTTGCTGGTGGCTGGGTGCAGAAGAGGTTTGTGGTATCATGGTGTGCTGTGGGTGTTCTGTTCCGTGGTAGGTGCTGCACTTCCCTCCACAAGGACAGCTGGAAAGGCTGTGGCTCAGTGACTAAAACCACGGCCTGGTGTTTGGTGCTTGGTTAGTTCAGGGACCTGCTATCTCAGTGTGTTGGTCTTGAGACTCCATTTCTTTGAATGTACATCTCCAGTGAGTAAGCTTTTCCCCCACACCTTAACTTGGGGTGCTATCTAGTTTGTGAGGGAGCTGAAATGTAGGCAATGAATTAGATGGGGCTGGAGGTGTGTTCCCAAGCTGAGCACGTGTTTGTGACCTTGCCCCAGTGTCGTGAGACTAGAGGGCAACAGCAAGTCTCTCCAGCATGACTGGCAGCCCCAGATAACCTATAGCACTAGGGGCTACTCACAGGTGCAGCATTAAGTGGCAGAGCCATGGCAAGAGGCCCTTTATTTCAAGGTTTCAGCTTTTCAAAACACAAAAGGACATGCTTGAAATTCATTCCTTCATGCTGATCCTGGGAGTCTTCCATAACCTTGAAATTTGGCTGTGTCTTTGCTTTCCCCACTTGCTCTACGCCTGTACAGAGCCCTTCACCGAGCCCTGACACACCCCAGCGCTGACGAGTGCCGTGGGGCCGGGGGCACCCAGGTCAGGAACATCACGACCAGCCCTGGCACTCCCCTCTCCCACAGTCACAGCAGCTTTGTGTGTGTGGCACCGGCCAGCTGAGGCATTGGCAGGGATAGCAGGGGAGCCTCAACAGTTGAGGTGGTATTTGGTGTGTCACTTATGAATGACACAAACTCTCCCACCCAGCTTGTAACTGCAAGGCTTTAGGCTGGTTCCCCTTGTATAAAGTGCCGTTCTGACCCATCAGTTCTGTTTTTCACCTCTTGCAGAAGCCCATGGTCTGAGCAGCAAAGGCTTCCCAGGTGCCTTGGCGAGGGCAGTGCCTGTTTTTGTAACGGCAGCTGTATTGCTGCTGCCATTTGACCCTCCTGCCTGCAGGTCCTGCATGCTGAAAGAGGTCAGAGACTGAAGTTAATGCGTATGGTCAGAGAAAGAGGCTTCTGCCCATATTGCCCTGCTTCAGTTCCACCCAGGAGCAAGGGTGTGTGGTTCACTGCTGACCTCCAGACTACAAGGAGAGGTCCAGATAGGAAGAGCCTTGCAAATTAATGCCCTCGTTACTGCAGGTGGGCTCAGTGCTGGGCATCCCTCACCCCACTGCCCTCTTCCTTGCCTTTCCCAAGCTGTGTATTCGTTACCTCTGAAGTGCTTCTCCAGCATCTGCAGCCCTGGAATTGGCAAGATATGTGCCCACACCCACACCCAGGCTGCTGCAGCATCTCAGGGGGCCTCATCCCATCACAGTCCTGGCAGTGGTAAGGCTGTGGATTAGAGGGGTTTGTAGCTTTGGCTTTGAACGTGTCAAACATGATATGTGTGGAGCCATAACACTCAGGGAGACCCCAGCTGCTGGAAGGACACGGTAGCATGTCCTTGCCCTGGCACAGCTGGACAGGCACAACCACCCATGTTCCCCCACAGCTGCTCCCTCCCCACACCCCTCCTTCCCTCGCTGAAATCCCTGCGTTACGCACTCATACAGCACATGCCTCACCATTTCCATCTGACAGTAAGGATTTCAGTAGCGTTTCTTGCTCTGTTTCCTATTTTAAAGCAAGCAGCTATCCGTCCTTCCCTTTATCTCCTAACTCTCCCCTAATAAATATGATCACTTCATCCTGTGCGACCTGAAAACCCATTTCTGAAATGCCCCCAGCAACTAATACAGTAAAACAAGCCTATAAATATAAATAATTATGATAAAAAGGCATAAAATGCCAGACTTGGGTCAAACATACTCACGGAATGACATTAGCAACAAATAACTACGCAGTGTTTGAATGTAGATGGAAAAAGCTGAATACAGAGTAGCTACTTCATTGCCCATAACTGTCAGACTCCTAATTCGGACAGGCCATATTTTACTGATAGCAGAGCAAACAGGGTCATAATCTATCCCTACCTTTCCTGCTTTGTAAAAAATCCCATCCATCCCCAGGGAAGCAGGGGTGTTAAAAACAGTGGTGTGAATGTGAGGTGAAAGTATAAGACAGAAAGCACAGTCCCAGGCTGCATTTCCCACGTGTTTCTCTCACATCATATGCTAAGTTCAATTTTCCAAAAGCTTTGTTTTATTTTTAAAGGTAACATCTTTATTATTATTATTATTATATTTATTAGTTGTTATTATTATTATTATGCAGAGATGAGATTTTTTTTTTCCCCCTTTGATCACAGAGCAAACAGTTTGCTTTTGAAAATGTTAATGGAGTCCTGATTTAAAACATTTTTTTCTTCACTTTTTTTTTTGTTGTTGTTTGTTGTTGTTTTTTAAAACGTTGCAACAGGCAGGATCTGGGATTCGATTTTCTCGTCCTACACAAAGAAAGATTCTGGAGTTCGCACTCCTAGCCTCTACCGGTAGGTCCTGCCTTGCTCAGTTGTCATCGTCTCAGTGTGGTTTCGCCAGGTGGGGTGGGTAGGTGGGTGGGAGGGGAGGAGTTGGAAGAAGGGAGGGAATTTGTCAGCTATGTCGAGTCTTGGTTAACAACTTTGCCTCCATTCATGGTTGGTGTCCCTGAACTTTTTCTTGAGCGTCCTTGTTTTTCTCCAATTTCATGCAGCGATGGCTCTCTGTACATGCACACTGCAAACAGAAAAGACATCCATTAACAGCACTGAAGTCACAGGCATTCGTGACCATAATGAATTATTTCTTTGTATATGAGGCTGAAATTCCAGCCCAAGACAAACACGCACAGAAACCTCAGTGACCCAGCCATAAATCCCGTTACCCAGCAGGATCTGTTACCTGCCCTCGCTGCTGCTCCTGCTTCTGTCTCAGGATTCTTCCAAAGGCACAGAGAGAAACAGGGGATTGCTCACAGATAAATCTTTCTAGGTTTTCTGTGCTTTATGATTTTTTCATGTTATATTCATATATATAAAATAAACATTCCAATTCATAGAACCATGTATTGTCTAGAGATGCCGATCATTACCTAACAACAGGTCCAAGAATTACCTGGTTCCCAGCCCTCAATCTCCAAAAAAAACCCTTGAGAGACTTGAAACAAAACTACACGTGCATCTGAGCCATCCAAGCCTTCTGGGTGTTGAGCTCTGGATACGGAATTGGTGACTCAAGCCTATTTGGCTCCATCACCCAAGAGCTGAGATCTGCTCTCAGCACTTCTTATTTTTTCCTCTGTAAATCAGACAGCCAGACAAGGCCAAGACCATGAGGGGACACATAGAGATGAGTTCAGTGACAGCAAGCCAGGAGCCATCCCCGCTTTGCGTGGTCATGTGGCAGCACCTAAGAACAGGGTGGATGGAGGGAACCTTCCCTCCAGACCCTGGCTAAGCAATGTGTGTCCTATAAAAATGTACTTGCTGGAACCTAGACAGGCAGAGAAGGCAACGTCTGCCCAAGGCATGGCTCATGCCCATGTCCCCATGTGCAGCACAAAGCATTTATCCAACTCACCATGTGGACTAAGTCCTCATGGCTGTCCTTCTGCCATGTGAGGTGTGCCAGAGCAGGGGCATGGGCTGAGCAGCTCAATGCCTCACACCAATGGGGAGCATCTCTGATGAGCTCACTGCAAATGTGGCACGGTGTAGATGTGATTGAAATAGTGAGGCATCTCAAGGGCAGGCACACTGGAGTTGAGAACATAGGGTAAGTTCAGACTGCCAATGTCATGTCTGGATCTTTACAAAAATTAGAATGGAAAGAAATGATTGTGCATTGCTTCATTTTGTAAAGCTGTCACATCACAAACAATGGCACAGAGCTCCAACACAGGATAGAGTCCATCAGGGTTTGGTTCTGGGTAATCAACCAGAACAAAACTTCAAAAATTATCTGAAGTAATAAAAAAAAAGACCCTATCTATGAAAAGGCGATGTAAGCACTTGTATTTATAACCTCCCTTGATTTGCAAATAAATCCCAGCAATTAGAGGCAGACTGCAAATGACATTATTGCTCTGCATTTTTACTCCTGACTAGATAAACAGTTATAGCAGTGTGCAACAATACAGGACAGAGATAAAGTGCAGTCGACTGTGTATTAATAGGAAAGATATTGAATTGAATATACGAGCAGTGAAAAAATATTACTTTTCCCATAGAGTATTTTTCATGTAAGGCTTTCAAAGCAGTTTAAACACAGACACACACTGGGCCTTCCAGCATGGCTCAAGGAAGGTACTGCTCTGCCAGCTCTTATTGCTACTGGAGATATTTTTGATGAAAATTAGAAAAAAGAGAAAATGAAGGACTTGTCCCATGGGCCTGGGCCAAGATGAGCAATGCCAGGACTGCCCATCATGCCCAGACTATTGATGCTGTCCACGTGCTGCAAGGACAGTGTGTAGCATGGCAGCAACAGACAGAAAAGGGCTCTCTTACTCCCTGTCAGCTGCTGAGCTGCCCCTCACACCTTGGAGAGTGTCACTCAACAACATGGTGATGGTGGCAACGTATCTAATAAAATCTTAAAGAAAGTAGGAAACGTTTAACAACTGAGGAACACCTGTGCCCTTGCGATTTCTTATCCTGATTTGCAGACCCTTTGATAAGCACTGAGGATGTACATCACTTCTGTTACTGACCTTATTCTCTGATGTGATGTTTGCCCAGCAGAATTAGGTATTTGTGGCAGTGTTGCCTCAGTACCCCTGACATTCCATCACAAAGTTCTGCCTCAAGTGCACTGTTGCCTTCTTCCTGACCTCCTTGGTCCCAAGTCAGAGGTGGAGGGACCTCCATAAGTTCTTCCCCCAGGCAGCTACATGTACCAAGCTCATCTCACCCACACCCATGCCCAAAATCCCATCGGGCTGGGCCACAAGGGCTGAGCACAAGCAAAGCCTGTAGCAGTAGCACCATGGTATGTTGCCTTTCCTCAACTCCCTGGCCTGACCATGGCCTTTGGGCAAAAACAGTGAGCTGCTAACAAGGCCCACAGAGTAATGAATATAAACCATGTTACAGAAGTAAACAACATTTGCAGCTACCAAAAAAGGAAACCCTGTATGTAGCAAGCAAATAGGGCAGGAATTATAAGTTTATCTTCCAGTCTAGTGCATGATACAAGTACTGATGTGGGGCATGGTTGGAGGCTGCTTACACTCAGCTTTTCAGACAGAGCTGTCAAAGCCTCTGTACCAGACAGGCTGTGCCAACAGCCCATGCCAGAAAATCTGTAGCAGCATAACACAAGCATATTTTCAGTATTTAGATACACCTACAGTATCAGTGTATGCAGTACTTACATGGCATCCTGCACAAGAGAGTGCCTGGATATTCTCCTACACAAGAGGCTTGTGCACGTGTGCTGAGCTATGGCCATTGTTCAGCAGTGGCTGCAAATCCGTGTGCACCGTGACACATGGGGGTGTGTGCACATGGATACATGGATGTGTGTGAACATGGACACACGGGGGGTTTTAAGGACAGTCCAACGTGTTGTGCAACACAAGTTCTTGGACCGCAGCTTGTTACTCTCTGTACTGAGGAATCTTGAGCGTGACTCATGCACAGAAATGTTAGTCATGGACCGGGGAGGGGGGTGTTTGCAAATGGACTGTTGTGAGTGCCCAGATCTTCCCAGCTTTGAAGTTCATCTTTGTGGTTCAGGACTGGCAGCACTCACTGGCAGGTCTCTTTGGTGTTTGTGTGTGTGTGAAGGCACACTGTCCTGTCACCTGCACTGAGGTTAAACTAGCAGCAGTGCGACAGTCAGCATGCCCAGACGCCTGGGAGGTCTGCTGGTGCACAGAGCACAAGGAGCTTTGGAAGGATGAGCAATTCTGCCAGAACAAGAGTTCCTCCCTGCTTTGCCTTGCTTCTCCCACCCACCCACACCCACACACCAAGCCAAATACAGCCCTTAATGTCTGGAAACCAAGCTAATGCTTTGGAGCTTCAATCAGATAATCAGCTCCTATGCCCTAGATTCCAATCAACACATCCATATTCATGCTTTAATTGGAAAGTGCTGCTAGCTTGATCTGCTGAAGAGCTGCAGGCATTAATGGAAGGGGGTGAACGGCAGTGCCGTTCATGACCTGTGCCCATGACTGGTTCTTGTGGCTTTCGATTCCCTGCTCCCCTGCTAACCAGCAGTGCCTGCTACTCACAGGCACATGGAAAAAATTTTCACAAAAAATGACTCACAAATTGGGAAGGAGACTAGGGGTAAAAGTGAGGAGGAAGGGCATGACAGGGACCATTTTTTCTGAAGGCAAATGGAGGGAGCTTCCTGTCACCCACAAACAGCTCAATCTCTTGCTTACATGCTGGCACAGGATCCCAGTCTCATTTCTGCTTCCCAGGCATGGCACTGGCACATCAACTACATGATGACATTGAAATCATCCAGGGACTGCCTGAGTTTAGGAATCAATATTTTGTGTCCTGACCCTAGTATTTCTCACTTGGCATCACTGCAAGTTGAGGAGATTCAGAGGATGCAACAGATTCCATTTCCTTTTTCTAGAATATGTCAAAAAGCTTACTAAGCACCTTAGAAATATCCCATCCATCCATCTTCACTCCTGGCTTTCCCTGCCCCATACTATCACAAGTTAGGAGGAACCAAAATTTTTCTAAGCTGCCATTCAGCAGGTGGGCAGCTCGCCAGCCCTGCAGGATCACCACACATTGATGGAGCCTGGCTGGGGTCTGGGCAGGGCTGGGCCCACATCCTCTGGCAGGCAGCCCGGAGACAGGCTCTTCCCCTTGACAGATGCCACAGCTCCGGGTGTTGGTATCTGCAGGAGCGGCTGCATTAGCTAATGCTTCAGTGGAGAGAATTAATTGTCTGAGCAGCAGCAGTCAGGGGCAGGAGGGAGTGAGTGATTAGGCACCCTCATTTTCTGTCTCTAATTACTGTGTTCTAAACCCAGTCCTAGCTGATGCATTTCAGAGGCATTTGAACTCGCATCTATCCGGTGGTAAAAAGTGAAAGATGCTGCCAGGTGGAATCACACTTTGTTCAGGTAATAAAGGCAGCACATGATGACAAAAAGCCAGCCAAAATCATGGTCAAAATACATCACATTTGCCATCTAATAAGATCGCTGGGAGTTTGACAGATGAACAAGTGAGTTAGTGTGGGATAGAAAACATACCAAAGCCTGCTCACTTGAAAGACAGACCCAAGAGAGGAGCTGTGTTAGCAAGACAGATAAAGTGGATGCCCCACCTCTGGAAGTGTTCAATGCCAGGCTGGATGGGGCCCTGAGCAACCTGATCAAGTGGGTGGCATCTCTGCTCATGGCAGGGGTGTTGAACCAAATGATGTTTAAGGTCCCTTCCAACCCAAGCCTTTCTACGACTCCATGTTTTGTGGATTAAGCTGATACCTTTGAAGCATTTTCACTAGGGCTATCACATCTTCCTACTCAACAGTGCCTTGTACTTCTTTGCAACATCTGAGGACTTTATGTTAAGAAAGCTTGGATGTTGCATCCCTGAGGAATCACACCGGGAAGATTTGGCTGCTTGGATTGTCAGTGATAATAAATGGATCCAGACTAGCCATTAACAGGTCACCTTCATATTTGAGAGGTGTTCACATCATGAGGGCTGAAGCACCATAAATCTGGAGTTAGGGGCTGCTCTGCTGACTTAGAGGGAGGAAGAGATTTTCTGCTTTCTGTGGCCAGATTTGCCACCAAAAATACTTTCTAGCTTCAGCCAGGCAAAAGAGGAAATGTAGCGCCTGTGGGAGAGCAATGTGGAAATTTTGTCCTCAAGAAGGAAATATAAGCAACAGAGCACATCCACAATAAGAATCTGACAATATTCTCACTTAAGTGACTGGAAACATCTCCCATTGTTTGAGATGGGTTAGGATATTTAGAAGAACAAGAGGCACTGCTGATGGTAGGGTTTGTCCAGCACTAATCATTACAGACACTTAAAGAGACTGAAATTGCTCTAAAACACTGCTTGTTGTCCAAGTGACAATTACACTCAAGCTCGTTTCTTGTGCAGTCTAGTTCAATCTATATGTCTACACTTTAGGGCTCATTTAGCTTGAAAGATCAGTGATCAGAAATAAAAATATCAAAAGAAATGTGTTGCGTATGTGTGTTTTTAAGCAAAACTGGCACCACACAGTACATCAACTGCTGCCTACCAGGCTGTTTTCCTTGGCTTTGCCTGTGCACAGATGGGAGAGGAACTTAACGTCTCCCCTGTTATTACTTAGTAAGTTTTTTGTGCTTTCATATTGATTAAGCTTAATCCTATTTCAAAAAACAAACAAATCCTATCAACCAAAACCCAAAACTTTTCCAGTTGGTATCTGTTGACTTTCGTACAGAATACCTACAGCATCCTGGAAATCTACAGGAGTGAAAACATTCTGTGGGTTTAGCACAGCAGAAAGCTGTAGCTGCTGAAAGCCACAGATAAAATACATCCATATAGAGATACTACTGTGTATATATGCACATGCACACACATGTAGTACTTAGATATTACCTCTGAGGATATTTCCTCCTTATGTATTAGTTTTCTGCCCATTTGCAATTTCAACAAGACTTCTGATTTCAGAAAGCAGGACGAAACAACAGGAATCAAAAGAGCTCGGCGAGCAATCTGGGTTTTTCGTGTTTCCTTTCCCTACAAACACTCTCTTCGCTAAACTGCTGCACAATTTTTCTGTTCATCACAAACAACTGGGAAGTTTTATCTCAACAATAACTGCCACTGAAATGGTGGGTGAAGTGATTCCTAGCAATGTATGTGACACCTCTCCTTCCCAGGGAAGCAGATTTCCTCCTTGCATACATTCCTGTGTCAGCCATCATGTGATCGGGCTAATGCTGGTGGCAGTACCGGATTGAGAAAGAGGAAACCTGGGGGCGTTTCTGTGGCTGGAAGCTGCAAAGTTCCTGTGGATGGAAGCTGCTGCCTGAATAAGTAGCAAAGCCCACACGCTGGGCACGCCACAGCATTCTGCAGAAGGGACATGCAAACAGAGCAAGAGAGTGCTTTGAATATTTTCTTAGAGTCATGACAAAGAAAGAAGCTGTTAAAACAGGGTAGGAATTGCCCCTTTTCTGTAACATCTCTTCTTGCAAGCTCTGCTCACGGGGACTTTGATGGATGCAGCAAAGAGAAGTCACGTGGAGATGAGCTCGTTTTACTCCAACCCTCCCTGCAAGCCTCTGCTACCTACAATGAATCTTGGGCTTGGGAACAGAGTCCTCCGTCTGGAGTCACAGTCCCAGACAGCTGAATGCTTTGGGAAGCTGACACGTGCCTTGGCTTGGGAGACTGCCAGCTCTTTGATGCAGCAGCGCTCACAGAGGCTGACTGCAAAGCATGTGGAGGAGGGAAGGAGTGGAGGAGCCCTTAATTTGGCTGCCAACTTCTAAAGCGCTCACTCGCTCGGGAGGTTATGTGACAGCTGTGATTGAAGCAAGTGTGGGAGGATGCAACTGCGGGAAAGGGAAGCTCTCGGGCTGGGATGGGTTTTTCAAAATGAAAGCCAGAGCAGCATTTTCTGCAATGAGATCTCTGCTGGGGGTCAGGCACCTCTATTAAGACAAGGCTTTCCATGAGGAGAGCCGCAGGAATGGCCTAGTTTAATGCATGCAGAAGACAACTATTGAGCCGTTCGGCAGACACCATGCATGCTGTATTACAAAAGAAGCCTGGATTCAAAAGGAACTCACTGATCAGTGCCAACACCCAACCAGGCAGCAAAGAAATACCAGAAGGAGCTGAAAACGCAGCTGTGAAAGCTGGCGCTTGCAAAAGACTCTTCTCCCAGCCAAGGTAAAAGAGAAACTGATGACTGACTCCATGCCTGAAGCAGGCCCTGTTCCTTAGCACAACTCAATGAGGGCTAAGGGCACTAATCCCACTAATGCCTCAGAAAAGCTGTTGAAAACAAGCACAGGACAAGCAGCTCCAGGCTGTTCTCCGCCCTTTCAACACATCCATTTCCCGTGCAAAGGCCACAGATACTCTGGGAATGCTGCAATGAATTTCTCTCATTGTGCTTTGCTTCAGTGGTCCAACATGTTTTCAACCTGCCTTCCTGAACTGGCCTTTCACTCACACTTGCTTGCCCCTGTGCCTGAGCTGGGAAGCTTTTAAAACAGATATTACTGTGTGGAGTTGGCTGTGGCCTCCACCACTTGTGAGTGTTAGGAGAACATCAGTTCATCCCTTCTCCCACAGCCAACATGGGGATAGCGAGAGGAAGCACAGAGCCATGCAGCCAAGGCCAGCTCTGAACTGCTGTGTCCCTGAGGTGGCAATTGGCAGGTCTGAGATGGGGTCAGAAAGGCATACCTAGTTTCAAGATCAAGAAGTAGTGCTTTTCCCAAGCAGCAGAAAAAGAGTTGTTTCCAGAGTCAAGTTAGTATCTGTTAAGTACTGGGGTCATCACAGTACATCTCTCCATTTATCAGGGGCCAGCCCACAAAAAGCAAAATGCCCTGGCAGGAGCCTGAGGCACACTTCAGCAGTGTACAGGCATCAGCAGGAGGGCAAAACTTCAGCTCCATGACTTTCACTGAAGTCTCAATGCGATGAAGACCTATGGCGTGACAGCATCCCATCTAACTTTGGACAAGTATGATAAGGTTTCTCTACCCCTGGTGATTAACTAGGATGTCTTTACATGTGAGAAAAAACAGATTTAAGTCATCTCAGGGTAGACATACAAAGTACATCCACAGCTGTGCTGGTAGGATGCATTTTTCTTCTGTTACTATAAACAGAGTACCAAAGTCTAAAATCAGGTGGGATAAATCTGGTCTCTACTGACTCTACATGAGACTGGAAACCTACTGAAATACGCTGGCAAAATCCTCACAGAGAACCCAACATTATGATCAGCTTCCATTTGAACTGCTGGCTGCTCAATGGCTGATTTTCTTTTCCAGTAATTTCTGATGTTGCCAGACTTTTAAATTCACCCTTTAGCATCCCAAAGCTAAGAAACCCCTTTGGGACAATGTGCAAAGTTTATTATATGGGAAAGAAAACAGATTAAATGCTAACAGTGAAGCCCAGCACCTATCTGAAGTGTTATACATATTCTCCTTGCTTTCTGGTCTTGCAGCCCAACACCCCCATACAGGAAACCATGAATATGAAGTTGCAAACTCCCCCTTCCCATACCCCACTGATGGAGAGACTGGGTGGATTCCATACCTTCAATAGGTTTGGGTACAAAATGTGATGAGGGTTTGGTTTTTTTCACTCGGTTTCCCTTCATAATTTGACCTTCTTTATTGAGTCCCAGGAACCACGCTCGTCCGGATTCTTGCTGCCGGTACAGCGTGGAAGAATAAATAACGTAGTAGTTTTCAAAGACAGATTCTTTAAATTTGCACTCTGGTGTGAAAACATCCTGCAGTGAGAGAGAGAGAGAGAGAGAGAGAGAGAGAGAGAGAAAGAGAGAGGGAGGGAGAGAGAAGAAAAAGCAATGGAAGGAATTAATCACTGATCTTCTAAATTAGGCATCACCGAGCGATACACAACGGTCACGCATTGCAGTTCGTTAACAACAGAAAACAACAGGCATCAGCAACGCCAGATCCCAGCAATCACACCCATCTAGAAAACTCCTGGCTGAAAGGCAAGGCTCTCCTTCCCTGGCAGAGCAGCAGTTTGTAGAACAGCCTACAGTGAACAGGCATGAGAAGTGTGCAGAAAAAGTCAGGAATTTGCCAGGATTTAGACTGGAATACTAAGCAAAATTAGAAAAAATAGAGCTGAGAAGCAGAGACAGCCTTGGTGTTCCTGATGCCTTCCCCTGCCTTTGCTCGTATCTTCCCTGTGATGGGGAAGAAATGTGCAATGCTCATTGTCTAAAATATTGAGATTTCTTCAAATTCTTATAGGCAAAGGGCAGTTTATTGAACCATTTAAGTGGATTCAAAGAAATGGGAGTACAAAAGCAAGTAAACTATTTACTTTCAAAAGCGACATGAGGAAATGCTGGCACAAAGCCTGGAAATCTTTCAATAAAGAGAAAGAAGTAATTTTAAAGATTTCTGGCACAAGTATTTCTTCAGATACTGAGAAGTGGTTCCACACCTGCCCTAGAGCAGAGAACACGTGGGTCTGTCCAAGACATCCCCTGAGCCTATGCCAGCTGTGGGAGTGGCTGTGTCTTTGCCACTTGCACTGGCTTTGCATGAAGTCTCCAGGAGGAAACTACACTGAGTTATGGACCAGAACTTGTGTCTCAGTAACTTTTCAGGATTTTTACAGCAGAGAAGCATTACATTTCTTTTAAAAGAGCTGGCTGGCTGGGGCATTCTGTGGCAACGGGCTCCCAAACCTTCACTGAGTCAGATACGGTTGTTAGTGGGTTGGGTTTTCTTCCCAGAATTCGATCTGGAGCAGAAAACTTGTCCTGGTCAAATTCTCCCACTAGATTCCTAAAATCTATGACATCCTTGCAAAAAAAGTTCAAGCCACAATGAAAATGCATTTTCTGAAGCAAAACTGCTTTTAAAAAAAATCCTTCTAATAGGTGCCAGACAAGGTATTTATAAGCCCTGCGAGTGAAGGCAAGTGCTGCTACAGGTGAGCGATGCTCCCTCCCAAGCCTTTGCCACTCCCAAGTCTTTGGGAGCTTCCATTCTTGCCAGTGGAAAACCCATGACCAACATCTGAACAAAGCCTCTGGAGTAATGCCACACATTTACTGCAGACCTTGCTTAAGAACGAACATTCTGAACATTCAGCAACACTCACGTATGTGTTCCCAAGCGATTTTGGGGTTATATAAAGTGTCGCTGGTCTAACAATAAATCCAGTGTGCAACAGACCCGTGGATCCTTGCAGGCTTGAAGCCACAGAAAATAAATCACAGCAGAAAGTGCAGAGCTGTGCTGCACACGTGAATTTGGCATCAATCATTAGCACCACACAGATAAAAATACCGTCAGTGCAACAGGTCACATTGCCCTATCTGAGGGAGTCTTCTTTGCTGAAGAAATAAATATTTTTAAAAAAGAGTGAAACAAGTTAAGAGAGATCTAGATGACTTAGAGCACTATAAAATGGTGTTTGAAGTAGCTTCCCCAAAGATCAGTGTTTAAGTGTTCCTTAAATCATCTCTTTGTCTCCAGGCTTTGTCTTGCCTGGGAGGAACACAGTTCACCCAGGAGCTGGGCAGTTTGCAGCGGCTGCCTGTGCTGGCTGGCTTGGGGGCACCCCTTGGCATCAGGACCAGCCAGGCAGCAGCTCTCAAAACACACTGGACAACTCAATCCCCTTTCCAATGCCTCCATTACCCATAAAAACTTATCATGAAAATTTCCTTTAGGGGGACTGAAAAACTGTTATGCTGTGAAGGTTAGCTCCCAACTTGACCAAAATATGGAATTTGCTGTGCATGAGGTAACTGGATTTTCCTCTTCTGTTTTAATTTCAATGTGGAACTAAGACTATGTTCAATGAGGAAGAAATATAAAAGCTAATAAATTTTGAAAATGTTGTTTCAGAAAGAAAAAAAAGATATTTTAATTAAAAGTTATTGAAAATTAAGTTTTCAGCTAAGTATCTATTTTAAAATTACTGCAGCACAGTACTTTATGACATGCAGCAGTAGTTCATAAAAGCAGATGCTGTATTGTATATCCACTTGTATCAATAAAGCAGCAAAATTCTTTTATTATTTTAAAGCAAATGTATGTAAAGACATCAACCCAATGAAGATTTAAGAAAAAAATGAAGAAATATTGATTTCCTTTAAATGTTTAAGCTCCCCCACAAGCAAACAAAAGCGTCCCATGGGTTTTGTGAGTTGGCTGGTTGATTCCTCATCCCCCACAATTCAGTTGAAATAGCACTTCAGGACACAAACCATGGCAACACCACTAAGAAACACCCCAGCTCTGTCCCTTCGGCAGCTTAAAAAACCCACGGATTTGACAGCTAAGTTCTAGTTAAATAATACTGGGTTTATTCATTATTATGCTTCTTCTTATGTATATCACCTGACCAGCAACAACTGTGCCATGTGGGGACAAACACACCAGGATGCAATTCGTCCTACCACCAAACTGACATTCCACGGGGACTTTAGAGGTTTGAGCACCACAAATCCTTGGCATGGCCACTACCACGTATGGACTCGACGCAATGAGTAAGAGGATGGAGAAGGAAGAACCACATGACCAGACAGGAGACAGGACAGAGGAGCAGGCTACTCTTCCAAATCTCTTTAACATGCAAACCCTTACATTTTCCTTCATTGACATCTTCTTGGTGGCCAATGGCAAGCCTTCAGCTACAGTGCATCATCTAGTTTCATCACGTGCCTTTTGCTGATGGCTTTGGGGCTACCAATAACAAAAGGCTACTGGGATATTAATGGCAGAAACTCTGTACAAGCTTCACTGTAAAAATTAATTGTGGCAATTATGTCTAATCAGGTGGGAACTGCTGTTTCAATTGTCTTGGGCTGAGAAGAGCTGGGAAGAAAGAGGAAAGTGCAGGTGTGCACAACAGGCTTCACACTAACAAAGCAGTTTGTAGCAGCCACTGCTGCACAGACTGAAATCTGAGATAACCGAAGGTATTTTTGAAAAATCATTGATCTATTGACCAGACCTCTGGGGCATGCAAGATTTTATTTTTATTTCTTTGGTTTAATTTATAAGACAAGGTCACTGTTGTTCACTGTTGCTAGATGGGCAGACTTGATATCCAATACTTTCTCTTCATCCTACGGATAAAGAGAGGCTAAACACCAGGGTCATGAGCACCCACTTCACTTCCTCACTTGCTGCAGGGACTTTTTGAAACCGGCTTATAACATACCCCACTCAATTATTTTTTCCAAATCTCTTCTTGATTGAAACAGCACGACCAGGTACAAGACAGTGAGAGGACAGATGGCTTTGTCTTTTAATCACCGGTCTTTTTTCAGTCTTTAAACAAAGAAATAAACAGTGACTCTTATTTTCTGCACAAAGTCCATAGAGGTCCCCTGTCAGGACCATCATGAACTCAGCTCACTCAGAAATCCCACCAGTTCTCCTTATTAATGAGCATGCTGGTGATTTGTAGCAAAAAATAAAAAAAAAAAGGAAATTTCTCTGGTTTAACTTCCATGTAAAATATGTGTCTTTGAATGAATTATTTTTGCATACAAAGTGAATAAATACATTTATTTGTTTACTTCTTGGAGATTTAGAGCTGGAGGTATTTTGTTAAATGTCTACAGACATTACTGAAAGTGGTTTTGAAAAGCGAATTTTTTTTTAATTGTTAAACTAAAAACCTGCATGAAATATTTGTAAAAGAAATGTTAGTAATTTACATGCAAAATGATTAGCATCTGTTTGCAACTTATTTTCTGCATCTCAATCCAATTCCTTGAACAAAAGACAATTCTATTAAGAAGAGTAATTAGATTTGCTTTGAACAAACAAACATAGGTCTGGTTTGTGCTAACTCTAGTTTTATTGGAAATTGCACAGTCTATTAAAAAAACCCACAATAGCTATCACATAGAAAATTAGGAAGACCACATTCAGTGACACTTGGAATCAAAAGGAGCTAAATGGATGCAACTACCATTGGAGGGCAGGGGCCAAGATCTACTGGGTCAGACCCGCTCAGGGAGGGTATGAGATACCATGATTGCCCCAAAACTTATTTTTGGTGTAGAAAAACAACATGTTTAATTTAGCCTTCACCCCAATAGTGTCTTCTGCCATCTGTAGATGGAAATATGGATGGGACTTGCAGGCAGAAGCCAATCTCTATATCACTTGGGTCTTCAGGGAGATGCTGGGAATGTCTGACCCCATCTGTCTCTCACTGCTGCACAGGCCGGGGGCGGTTTGTGAGAGGACAGATTTTTTTTCCTAATCCACCTCAGCTTTCACCTGCCCTGGTCAGGTAGATCTAACCCAGCCTCTGGGCCTTGAACACAGCAGGTTTGATGGACTCTCCTTTGCACTTCTGTACATCTGTAGAAGTTCCACAGACATCAGTGCAGAGGCACTGCTGTCAAACCTGTGGACATGAGACTTCAGGGCATTCAGAGATGCACTGCCACCCTTGGAGGTCTCAGCTCCTTCACAAAATGCTGACCCAGTCTGGTGCAGTTCATAGTGCTGCCAGGGCAGCGGACAGCCCTGGTGCTGCTCAAGAAATAAGTGCCAGCCCCTGCCGTACCAGTCTGGGAGCATCCCTGCCACTGAACATGCTCAGCTGGGAGCTGCAAGGAAAGGGTCCCCTGGAAGCAACAGCATGGTGCTTCTGTGTTCTGAACATGACAGCCAGCAATTTGCTCCCCAGAAACCCCCGATGTTTCCAGACCTTGGCAGAAACAGTGACAGGTTCCCATGTGCAATGCTCAGGGCCAGCCAGGCAGTCAGCAGA